AACTTATAGGAACAATCCCCTGTGCTCTTTTATGTTTCCAATATTCTATAGTTTTCTATTGTTGATTTAAAATGCATTTTACTTTTTCTTTAAGTGCATCCTGCTGTTGACGAGCATTTAAACAGGTATGATTTCACAGATTTTATAAAATGATGTGTTAACTAAGTGGATAGAGAGAATAGAAACTAGTATATGTTTAGTGTTGTAGTCTGTGCTATGCACCAGATTACCTGCTTCGCAGTTATCGTCTCCTGTCATCTTCACACAGCTTTACAAAGTAGTTTTGCTATTATTGCTTTCTTACTGATTACACAACTCTGGTCGAAATAGTTTGAAATATTGGCTCATGATTCTGTAGTCAACAGGTAGCCAACCCATGATTTGACAATCATCCTGCCTGGCTTTTCACATCACTTTGCACCTAAACATAGATAGAAAGAGATGTTTGCAGCAGTGGGATGTAGGTACTGGTTTAAATCAGATCAGTTCAGAAAGTCACATTTTGTTATATATTAACTCTCTTTAGAGTGTTCCGTAGAAGCTCGGCTACTCCAAAAGTTTGTCCTAATATGTTTGGAATTTACAGTGGTAACAAGTACCTGTTTTTTTTTATTGTTGTTGTTGTTGTTGTTGTTGTTGTTCAACCATCAAAGTTTTGAAGGTAGGTATGAGTTATCTGTGGCTATAGGACCCAAGGTTTTTCATAAACAAGACCAGGTCCGTCTAAAAGAGGAATCATTTTACTGTATATGGAGAATATCTATAGATAGTCTATGTTATATGAACTATATTTAGCATATATTGAAAGCATATTTCAAATTCATTTCTCCACTTACTCTCTACCCATTTTGGTTTTCTCTTTGAGTACCCTGCCTAATTTGATGAAGCTTTTTCTTGTTTTCTGGATTTATTTTTTTCTTTCTATGGCAGTTAAATAATATTTTCTTGATTTCTTTTTACTTTCTCTTCTGCATTGCTTAGGGTTTATTACTTCTATTATTGTTTTCATGTATGGTAGCTAAATATTCCCCATTTTCCTGTAGACAAAATCAGAAGGGCACAGAATTTCAGAATTTTAAGAAATCCTGGAGACTAAACAAAATATCCTCTAGTTCTTGAATCTGTGTTTAACATCCTGATTAAGCGGTTGTTCAGTTGGAGAATCTGAAACTCAAAGAGATGAAATTATTCAGTTGGATATAGTAAATGGCAGAAATGAGATTTGCGCTCAGGTTTCTTAATTCAAAACCCAATCTTCTTTTACATCATTTTGTCTTTGAGTGTTTTTGTAACAGAAAGAAGGAGTGGCTCTAGTGAACACAGTGGAAGAGGATGAGAATGGAATGAATGTTGAACTCAGTCAAAGTGGATAAGAATGGAATTTGTCTGGCATAGCTGAATTTGTAGAGAAAGAAACACTTAAAACAATTGGAAACACAGGATGTTGGGAGTTACCAAGAAAATCATATTCAAATAGGGCATTCAAGGAGTTCGGAAAAGGCTGCTGCCTTTTTGTTTATTTAACTGGAGGAACTGCCAAACTTTAAAGTTTTTATTGAAAAATATAGGAATTTGAGCCACAGCAAGGAGTATCTGGAGTAGATATTAATGTTTGTATCCTCTTCTTTTACGCAAGTTCAGAGAGGGTTTATAACCTGAGATAGAGATTGCTTAAGTACATAGATCTGTGATCCAGGGTGGATGTCTTTTTTTTTCCCCTCTTTTCTCACTTCTCTCATGTGCCTATCGGTTAGGGCAAAGGTAGGATTGTTTAGGAAATCGGTAATGAAACTTCATTTGGGTAGTTTGTAAGGTCCCTATGCTTGGGATGGTTGACTGAGACTGACTTACTTTCCCGCAACAGAGGAATAGAGAATTCCTAATCTCAATTATTGTAGCTTATCTTTTTATGAATCTGGGCTTTCCTTGGCTTAGGAAATAGATTGGAAATTGCCATGGATCCCTGCAGAAGATCTATACTGAAATGGGAGTCTATGGGAAGGAAGATATTTAGATAGTATTGAATGAAATGGAGCTACAACTACTCATGAGTGAAACTATTCCTGCATTCTGCCTCTTGGGTATCTGAGTGTCTATGATTTTTTTTTTTTTTGAGATAGAGTCTTGCTCTGTAGCCCAGGCTGGAGTACATGGAGCTACCTTGGCTACTGTAACCTCTGTCTCTCAGATCCTGGTTCAAGCAAGTCTCCTACCTCAGCCTCCCAAGTACCTGGGATTACAGGCACGAGCCACCATGTCCAGCTAATTTTTGTATTTTTTAGTAGAGATGGGGTTCCCCATGTTGGCCAGTCTGGTCTTGAACTCCTGACCTCATGATCTGCCCACCTGCACCTCCCAAATTGCTCGGATTACAGGCGTGTGTCACCATACCCAGCATAAGATTTTTAATATTGGTGGTTTTTGTGGACCTCAATAAGGCAGGATCTATAATATAACATTAATTGGATTTCAGAAAGTTTTAATGTTTTAATCTTCTTTGAAGGATATTCCCAATAACAACATAAATCTTTGTATTTTGATTTTTGTACACTCTGCTCTCAAACATGTCCAGTGTTTCAGAGGCTCCGTGTAATATTCTAGGGTAAACAGAATCAATGGGCACTCTTTAAGTAGCTTACATGTGGAAGATCCAAGACTCCCATTTTCCAGTGACACAGATTAGTTTTTGAATCAAAAATAGACAATGGAGAAGAGACAGTGCATTTTCTACCTTGTTTTAGGTTATCAGGTTTATTCCAGTTCAGTAGCAAAAGTTCTGAGAGATATCAATTGGATTTTCAGTTTAGCCTTTAGGGTAGATAATTTCTAAGGACAAAGGATTGTCTGGCTGTCCCATTGTATTTCCTGTCAGTATTTGTTATGGGCTTAAGGGTGAGTGTTCTTGGATATTTCATAGGTTGGGAGAGGTGGAGGCAGAAATAGGTAACTAAAATGTTTTCTAAAACTGAGACCATATCTAAATTATATCAAGAAATATTATTTAATATACAGGTAACTAGCCTTCCTCAGACTCTGTTTTACTATTTTTTGGGGGAACAGACTTATAAGTATAGACTGAAAGTTTTTTTTTTGTTTTAAGAAATGAACCTGCTCATTTTTGTTGTTTCTTTTTGCCGTATAGGTGTCTCCGAAGATCGGATGGTGGTGCCAAGTCTGTGCCAGAGGATGAGTCTAATACTGATTCTGTGGTAAAGTACTTACTTGTGAAATTAATATTCTTACTCGGAATCTCATTTTTTAAATATTATCTTCTAACATTTAGCACTTGTCTACCTATCATTGTTTTATGTTTGTATTAAAAATTTTATTAGAGATAACCATTTCAAGGAAATAGGAGGGGTTAATTTTTATTTTTTTTCCTTGGCAAAAAAGAAATCGTTGATAAATACTTTGAGAGTTGGGATCTGAATAAAATGGGCTGGAAAATATAATGACAGAAAAATGCTGTTAGGGAATGCTTTTTGCAATAGAGGAAATACAAATTTTGGTCTAGGCTTATTTGAGTAAGTGTCTTTACTTTGAGTTGTAAATAATGTTAGTATAACTAATAATACTTCTGTTTAAATGAATCTTTAATAGATCAGATGACTGATAGGAATTATGGAATCACCCTGTTACACGTAGCATATCGTTTCTTTTAATTTCTTGTACACTTATTTTGATATCATGCAGTTTTTTGCGGAGAGCTATTTCTTTATTTTTAACTTTGGTTCTATAATTAGACTAAAATAATATCAGAAATTATGGAAATATAACTAGACATGGTAACATGTGCCTGTAGTCCCGGCTATTCAAGAGATGAAGCTAGGAGAATTGCTTGAGTCCAGGAGTTTGAGACCAAGCTTGCCAATATAGGAAGACCCTATCTCTAATTTAAAAAAAAAAATTGTGGGAGATTAGAAATTGAAGTTCTGTTCTGAAATCTGTATTACAAAGGGTTAAACTGTGTTTTCTAAGTTTTTTAAAATTAAGAATATACTTTAAATTCTTTATCTCTTTAAATGATGTGTATTTTGTTTAATAAAACACAACCTGTTTGGAGAGAGTATCCAAGATGGCTGAATAGGAACTGGAGTGCAGTTCCTCATGAGAACAATGCAGAGGGTGAGTGATCACTGCATTTCTAAATGAGTTTTCACTGCCCATATACCCGGAGATTCCCTGGCTGAAAGTAGCCACCAGCAGCTGTTTCAGCTGGTGCAGCAGGTCTCTGCAGAAAAATCTCACAATAATCTGGGCGGCCATTTCAACTGGGGCCTGGAATGATTGGGAGACAGAGCCACCCATTCAACTGAGAAAAAGGAGGCTAAAACAGGGTGCAAGGTGATCTGGCTTAGCGGTTCCCACCTCCACAAAGACCAGAATCTGAAACCTTCTGGACTGACAGTTTCTCAGCAAGCACAGTTCGACCCAGGATGGTCCAGCTCTGTCAGGGGAAGGGTGTCTGCCATTACTGAGGCAGTTCACCACTACCAAGGCAGTCTGCCATTAACAAGCCAGTCCACCGTTACTGAGGCAGGCTGCCATTTCCAAGGCAGTTCTAAGTCTGCCTCTGTAACCAAAACTGCAAGGAAGTTCACACAGCAGCTGGGCAGAGCCCACGACAGGTCAGCAACGCCTCTGTTGGCAGACTCTGACTATGCTACCTCCTTGCTGGGAAGGGCATCTTTGAAAATAGGCAGCAGGAACTTATAAATAAAGCCCCACCTTCCCGGGAAAGAGCACCTAGAGAAAAAAGGCAATTATGAGTTCCGTTGCAGCGGACTTAAACATACCTACCCAGCAGCAGCCCCATTAAGTGGAACAACAGAGCTCCCAGCACAGCACTTGAGCTCTTATAAGGGACAGACTGTCTCCTTAAGCAGCTCCCTGACCTCTGTATATCCAAAGAGACACCTCATAAAGGAAAGCTCAGGATGACATCTGGCAGGTATTCTTTTGGGACGAAGATAACAGAAGAATAAACTGGCAGCAACCCTTACTATTCTGCCATTGCCACAGGGGATCCCCGGGCAAGCAGAGTCTGGAGTCAACCTCCAGCAGTCCTACAGCAGAAGGGTCTGACTGTTAAAAGGAAAACTAAAAGAAACAGAAATAACTTCAACATCAACAAAAAGGATATCTACTCAGAGACCCCACCCGAAGGTCACCAATGACAAAGACCACAGGTAGATCACTCCACAAAGATAGGAAGAAACCAGTGCAAAAGGATGAAAACACCCAAAACCAGAATGCCTCTCCTCCTCCAAGTGATCACAACCCCTCACCAGCAAGGGAACAAAGTTGGATAATGAGTCTCATGAATTGACAGAAACAGACTTCAGAAGGTGGGTAATAACAAACTTCTCTGAGCTAAAAGAACATGTTCTAACCCAATGTAAATAAGCCAAGAACGTTGTAAAAAGCTTTGACAAAATGCTAATGAGGATAAACAGCTGAGAGAAGAACATAAACGACTTGCTGGAGCTGAAAAACACAACATGAGAGCTTTGCGAAGCCTACACAAATTTCAATAGCTGAATAGACCAAGGATATTAGAAAGAAAGGATATTAGAGATTGACGATCAACTCAATGAAATAAAATGAGAAGGCAAGATTAGAGAAAAAAGAGTAAAAAGAAATGAACAAAGCATGCAAGAAATATGACATTATGTGAAAAGACCTAACGTACGTTTGATAGGTATACCTGAATGTGATGGAGGAAAACGCTCTTCAGGATATTATCCAGGAGAAAATCCCCAACCTAACAAGGTAGGCCAAAATTCAAGTCCAGGAAATATAGAGAACACCACAACAATATTCCTTAAGAAGAGCAACCCCAAGGCACACAATCGTCAGATTCAGCAAGGTTGAAATGAACGAAAAAATGCTAAGGGCAGGCAGAGAGAAAGGTCAGGTTACCCACAAAGGGAAGCCCATCAGACTCACAGCAATTTCTCGGCAGATACCCTCCAAGCCAGAAGAGAGTGGGGGCCAATATTCAACATCCTTGAAGAAAAGAACTTTCAACCTAGAATTTCATATCCAGTCAAACTAAGCTTCATAAGCAAAGAAGAAATAACATCCTTTATAAACAAGCACTTGCTGAGAGATTTTGTTACTACCAGGCCTGACTTATAAGAGCCCCTTGAAAGGAGCACTAAACATAGAAAGGAACAACCAGTACCAGCCACTTTAAAAACCTACCAAATGGTGAAGAGCATTGACACAATGAAGAAACTGCATCAACTAATGGGCAAAACAACCAGCTAGCATCAAAATCACAGGATCAGATTTACACATATCAATGTTAACCTTAAACGTAAATGGGCTAAATACTTGAATCAAAAGACACAGACTGGCAAATTGGATAAAAAGTCAAAACCCATCGGTGTGTTGTATCGAGGAAACCCATCTCACATGCAAGGACACACATAGCCTCAAAATAAAGGGATGGAGGAAGATTTACCAAGCAAATGGAGAGCAAAGAAAAGAGGAGTTGTAATCCTAGTCTGTGATAAAATAGACGTAAAATCAACAAAGATGAGAGGAGACAAAGAAGGACATTACATAATGGAAAAAGGATCAATGCAACAAGAAGAGCTAACAATCCGAAATATATACACAACCGATACAGGAGCTCCCAGATACATAAAACAAGTTCTTAACAGCCTACAAAGAGACTTAGATTCCCACACAATAATAGTGGGAGACTTTACACTCCACTGTCAATATTAGACCGATCAATGAGACAGAAAATTAACAAGGATATCCAGGACTTGAACTCAGAACTGCACCAAACAAACCTAATAGACAATTCTAGAACTCTCCACCCCAAATCCACAGAATATGCATTTTTCTCAGGACCATATCGCACCTACTCTACAATTGACCACATAATTGGAAGTAAATCCCTCCTCAGCAAAGGCAAAAGAACAGAAATCATAACAAATAGTCTCTCAGACAACAGTGCAATCAAATTAGAACTCAGGATTAAGAAACTAAATCAGAATTGCACAACTTAATGTGAACTGAACAACTGACTCTTGAATATTGACTGGATAAACAATGAAATGAAGGCAGAAATCAAGATGTTCTTTGAAACCAACAAGAATGAAGACACAACATACCAGAATCTCTGGAACACAAAGTAGTGTCTAGAGGGAAATTTATAGCAAAAAATGCCCACATGAGAAGCAAGGAAAGATCTAAAATTGACACCCTGGCATAAAAATTGAAAGAGCTAGAGGAGGAAAAAAAAAAAAAAACCTCAAAAGCTAACAGGAGACAAGAAATAACTAAGATCAGAATAGTACTGAAGGAGATAGAGACACCAAAAAACCCTTCAAAAAATCAATAAATCCAGGAGCTTGTTTTTTCAAAAGATCAACAAAATAGACCACTAGCCAGATTAATGAAAAAGAAACGAAAGAAGAATCAAATAGATGCAATAAAAATCACTAAAGGGGATATCACCACCAATTCCACAGAAATACAAACTACCATCACAGATTACTACAAACAACTCTATGCACATAAACCAGTAAACCTGGAAGAAATGGATAAATCCCTGGACAATTGCATCCTCCCAAGCATAAACCAGGAAGAAGTCAAAACCCTGAATGGACCAATAACAAGGGCTGAGGTTGAGGCAGCAATTAATAGCCTACCAACCAAAAAAAGCCCATGTCCAGATAGGTTCACAGCTGAATTCTACCAGACATACAAAGAGGAGCAGGTACCACTCCTTCTGAAACTATTCCAAGCAATCCAAAAAGAGGCAGTCCTTCCCATATCATTTCACGAGACCAACATCATCCTGTTACCAAAACCCTGCAGATTCAACAACAGAAGAAAATGTCAGGCCAATATCTATGATGAACATTGCGGAAAAAATCTTCAATAAAATACTGACAAACCAATTGCAACAGCACATCAAAAAGCTTATCCATCACGATCAAGTAGGCTTCATCCTAGGGATGCAAGGCTGGTTCAACATTCACAAGTATGTAAACGTAATCCACCACATAAGCAGAACCAAAGACAAATACCATGTAATTATCTTAATAGATGCAGAGAAGGCTTTGAACAAAATTCAACAATGCTTTATACTAAAAACTCGCAATAAACTAGGTATAGATGGAACGCATCTCAAAACAATAAAAGCTATGTATGAGAAACCCACAGCCAATATCAGACCGAATGGGCAAAAACTGGAAGCATTCCCTTTGAAATCTGGCACTAGACAAGGATGCCCTCTCTCACCACTCCTATTCAATATAGTATTGGAAGCTCTAGTCAGAGCAATCAGGCAAGAAAAAGAAATAAAGGGTATTCAGTTAGGAAAGGAGGAAGTCAAATTGTCTCTATTTGCAGATGACATGATTGTATATTTAGCAGACCCCATCATCTCAGCCCAAAATCTCCTTAAGCTCATAAGCAACTTCAGCAAAGTCTCAGGATACAAAATCAATGTGCAGAAATCACAAGCATTCCTATACACAAATAACAGAACTAAAGAGAGCCAAATCAAGAACGAACTGCCATTCACAATTGCTACAAAGAAAATAAAATACCTAGGAATACAACTAACAAAGAATGTAAAGGACCTCTTTAAGGAGAACTACAAATCACTGCTCAAGGAAATAAGAGAGGACACAGATGGAAAAACATTCCATGCCCATGGTTACGAAGAATCAATATTGTGAAAATGGCCATACCGCCCAATGTAATTTATACATTTAGTGCTATCCCCATGGAGCTACCTATGACCCTCTTCACAGAACTGGAAAAAAACAGCCCAAACTTCATATGGAACAAAAGAGAGCTCACATAGCCAAGACAATCCTAAGCAAAAAGAACAAAGCTGGAGGCATCATGCTACCTGGCTTCAAACTATGCTACAAGTCTGCAGTAATCAAAACAGCATAGTACTGGTACCGAAACAGAGATACAGACCAATGGAACAGAACAGAGGCCCCAGAGACAAGGCCACACATTACAGCCATCTGATCTTTGACAAACCTGACAAAAACAAGCAGTAGGGAAAGGATTCCCTGTTTAATAAATGGTGTTGGGAAAACTGGTTTACCATGTGCCGAAAGTAGAAGCTGGACCCCTTCTTCACACCTTACACTAAATTTAACTCCAGATGGATTAAAGATTTAAACATAAGACCTCACACCATAAAAATCCCAGAAGAAAGCCTAGGCAAAACCATTCAGGACATAGGCATATGCAAGGACTTCATGACTAAAACACCAAAAGCATTGGCAACAAAAGCCAAAATATACAAATGGGATCTAATTAAACTCCAGAAATTCTGCACAGCAAAAGAAACAATCATTAGAGTGAACTGGCAACCAACAGAATGGAAAAATATTTTTGCTTTCTACCCATCTGATAAAGGGCTAATATCCAGAATCTAAGAACTAAAACAGATTTACAAGAAAAAAACAAACAAACCCATCCAAAAATGGGCAAAGGACATCAATAGACACTTTTCAACAGAAGACATTTATGAGGCCAACAAACATATAAAAAAATGCTCATCATCGCTGGTCATTAGAGAAATATAAATCAAAACCACATTGAGATACCATCTCACATCAGTTAGAATGGCGATCATTAAAAAATCTGGAGATAACAGATGCTGGAGAGGATGTAGAGAAATAGGAACGCTTTTACACTGTTGGTTGGAGTGTAAATTAGTTCATTATTGTGGAAATAGTTTGACAATTCCTCAAGGACTTAGAAATAGAAATTCCATTTGACCCAGCAATCTCATTACTGGGTATATATCCAAAGGATTATAAATCATTCTATTTTAAAGACACATGCACACATATGTTCATTTTGGCACTGTTTACAATAGAAAAGACCTGGAACCAACCCAAATGCCCATCGATGATAGACTGGACAAGGAAAATGTGGCACATATACACTGTGGAATACTATGCAGCCATAAAACATGATGAGTTGGTGTCCTTTGTAGGAACATGGATGAATCTGGAAACCATCATTCTCAGAAAACTGACACAAGAACAGAAAATTAAACACTGCATGTTCTCACTCATAGGTGGGTGTTGAACAATGAGAACTTATGGTCACAGGGAGTGGAGCATCATACACTGGGGCCTGTTGGCAGGGGTATTAGGGGAGGGACAGTGGGGGTAGGGAGGCTATGGATAGATAACATGGGGAGAAATGGCAAATACAGGTGACAGGAGGATGGAGGCAGCAAACCACATTGCCATGTATGTACCTATGCAACAATCCTGCATGTTCTGCACATGTACCCCAGAACCTAAAATGCAATTAAAGAAAAAAAATATGTGTGTGTGTGTGTGTGTGTGTGTGTGTGTGTGTGTGTGTGTGTATGTATAGATATGCCACTTTTCACCAGGTGGCCACTTGATTCAGCCTACAAAGGGTATGCAATAACTCTTACCTTCCATGAATTCCAAAGTTCCCTACATGAATAAAATCTAAATAAAAATTTCTCCATTTGTCTTGTTAAAAAAATTCTTTTTTCTCTAGGTGGAAAGTTGATGGAACTTTATTTTTTTCTTTCTCTCTCTCTGTAGTAAGAATGTTTCAGCTTTCAGGTGGATGATCATGCTTATCTCTTGGGGTGTCTTATTTTGTAGCAAACAAATTGAATTCTTTATTATATAAGCATTTACACAAAACAAATTGTAGAGTAAATGCTAACCAGTATTATTAGGCTTGTATTAAGAACTCAAGCTTTTCTTTTAAGCTCATATTTGATTGACTGGTCATATCTCTCTTTTTGTTTGTTTCTCCGTCCTTCCTCTTTGTTTACAAATGGTTTGCCTCAGTCTTAACTTTTTCCTTGCAGAACACATGTCTGTAGTGTCTGTTTTTTCATTTCACCTCTGTTTCTATTATCAGCATACTTATTACAGCTTTCTCTTTAGCAGCTCTGTGTGGCTTTCATTCGTCAATCATTGCTCTATAAGGTGGTTGGTTGTTTTGTTCTCTCTTTTTTGGAAGGAGCTGAAGTTATACAATAATTTTTTCTTAGCTTTTAACACAGAGAATGCAAGCAACCTGTACTGTTTCCATTGCCAACCCATTTAAATATGGTACTACTAAAAACCACAGGTTCACATTTTATTCCCAGAAAATGTAATTCACACAGATAGATATAATCCATAGCTATTTTGAAAAATAATGTGGTTAATTTACTTTTGTATTATTATTTTTATTCAGTGATACTCTAAATTACATACAAGTAAATTTTTGTCCTCGGTTGCTGTGGATAGGAAAAACTAATGGATTATTTGTGTAATAATCAACTAGGGTTAAAAGGAGTTACATTTTGAGACTATGTCACCAATCATAATCATCATGGCATTAGAATATGTAGCTAAGTAAATGGCAGACTCAAGGTTTGACTCTACATATGAGTGACTTCAAAATCTGTACATTTTGTGTTAGCTCATATAGTAATGGTGGCTGTTGTAATTATTTTAACTTGCTGCATGTTATTCTTAAATCGATTGTTTTTCTTCTAGATTATTGCAAAATCACGTGAAATAAAGAGGATGCCTCATGAAGATTCTTTAGAAAATTGTAAGCTATTTGAGCCTACCTATTTTATTATTTACTGATTCTTTTTTTTTTTTTTTTTTTTTTTTAAACACTGAGTCTTACTTACTCTGCTGCCCACGCTGGAGGTCAGTGGCATTATCTTGTCTCACTGCAACTTCCACCAACTGGGTTCAAGTCATTCTCCTGCCTCAGCCTCCTGAGTAGCTGGGATTACAGGTGCACACCACCACAGCTGGCTAATTTTTGTATTTTTAGTAGAGATGGGATTTCACCATGTTGGCCAAGCTAGTCTCAAACTCCTAACCTCAGGTGGTCTGCCTGTCTCTGCCTTCCTTAGTGCTGAGATTAAAGGTGTGAGCCACCACACCTGGTTCTTATTTCCTGATTCTTAATTAGAAGCATTTCATCTACTCTTCACTTTGTTTTCACTGTAGTACATGCCGCATATGGCATTGAAAAAACCGAAAATGGAACCTTGTTTGAAAACCAAAAGAATGATAAGGTAAATGAAGATGTGTTTAAAAGCTATCATAGAATAATCAGAATCTTTTCCTGTTTACCACTCACCCTCATCTATAAATGATCTCTAGCTTCACAAGGTTAAATTGTTTTATTTAGAAAATATTTTTCTTATTCTTTATTCACATATCATCTCCCCATCTTTATAATGATTACAAGGATCCTAGAAAGGAATGGAAATTCTCAAGATAATAATGGAAAGCAAGTACACAACAAGGGAAATATATGCACAGAACTGAGTTTCATAAAAGGTGGTGGGTGTAATGTATTCTCAATTTTGCCATTAGAAAAGGAAAGAAGTAGAAAGCAACCTGAAAGAATAGCTCAAAATTCAAAGGTGAGGAAGGGAAAGATGTAAGAACACAGAGACTGAATAAGAGAGTCAAGGTGACAAAGATTCGTATAAAAACACCTTAGAAATCCTCAGTTTAAATGAGAGCAGAATGTCTCTATAATATAGAAATTATTTTAAATACAGATTAAGAAAAGAAAGCCAAGTAATAAAAACATGCTTAGATTCTTCTGAGTGACTTATGGGTAATTTTAATGAAGGATTGAAAGAAAATTCATGGGTGACTATAGTTAACATTATTCTGTTATACATTAAAAAACAGCTAGGAGAGAATAATTTGAACATTTCTAGTTTAAGTAAAAGATACATTTTTAAGGCAATGCATATCTCTGTTATCCTCATTAGATTATATAGAAGGATCAAATCATCACATGTACACTGAAGATATATACATCTATTTATTAATTTTAAAAGTCTAAATGGAAAGAAAATTTAATCCTCACTTTATTAAATTTTAGTAAAGTGATATCTTATCTAGTACATGCTGTGTTCATAGATAAGGCAAAGTAAGATCTGGTTTAGGCTTATGAGATTTTGAATGAATCATTAATTTTTGACTCTGGTTAAAAGTCTTTTAAAGTAGTATTTGGTATATTCATAACTTGCTTAACTAATTTATTTTATTTTTACTTAATCTTGGCAGCTGTTTTAGCCTTTTTTGATAGTAGAGAATAAATAAGCATTTATCTTTCATTAATAAAAATTAAAATTTCTGGTTATTTTTAAAGGAGGTTCTTAATTTATATTCATTGCATGAGAAAATATATAGTTTGACTTGCAGCCCTCTTAAATAAATGAATTATTACTTATTTCTGGAGATAGTCCAGAAATATCTGTATATGACTTACCTTGTGTTGCTAACATCTGTGTTTAAGAACACACATGAGAACTTTTAAAACTATCTGTCACAGTTGGGACATTTTCTATTATTCTCTGGAAGCTTTATTAACTTTAGTATTTATAGCTGTTAAACCTTGCACATAAAGTTATTCCACTCTAAAACTCAGGAATCCTTTTGACTTTATTTATTTATTTTTATTTTTATTTTTTTGAGATAAGAATCTCACTGTGTCACCCAGGCTGGAGTGCAGTGGTGTGATCTTGGCTCACTGCAACTTCCACCTCCCAAGTTCAAGCAATTCTCCTGCCTCAGCCTCCCAAGTAGTAGCTGGGACTACAGGTGTGTGCCACCACGCCCCGCTAATTTTTGTATTTTTAGTAGAGACAGGGTTTCACTATGTTGGCCAGGCTGATCTTGAACTACTGACCTCGTGATCCATCCGCCTCAGTACACTAAAGTGCTGATCTTGAACTCCTGACCTCAGGATACATCCGCCTTGGCCTCCAAAAGTGCTGGGATTACAAGTGTGAGCTACCGCGCCCAGCCCTTGACTTGATTTTTTTTTTTTTTTTGGGGGGGACAGAGTCTCGCTCTGTTGCCCAGGCTGGAGTGCAGTGGCACAGTCTTAGCTCACTGCAACCTCTATCTCTGGCATTCAAGCAGTTCTAACGCCTCAGCATCCCGAGTAGCTGGGACTACAGGTCTGTGCTACCACGCCTGGCTAATTTTTGTATTTTTAGGAGAGATGAGGTGTTACTGTATCAGCCAGGCTGCTCTCGAGCTCCTGACCTCAAGTGATCCTCCCGCCTCAGCCTTCCAAAGTGCTGGGATTACAGGTGTGAGCCATTGCACCTGGCCGACTAGATTTTTAAAATAAATTTATTCTCTCTTCATGTGAGTATTGGGTCCTGATTGACAGTAATAGTGTATTTGAAGACATGTAAGTCTTCTGCTTGCATAGTCATATGATTATTTTACTTGATCCTTTCTCTGATTTTTAATTGTCATCTTTATGGCATAAGTAGGCAACTAGAGCTATTAGTATATCATTTACAGGAGAACCAGAAAACCACATGAACTTTAAAATGGGGTTTTATTTTATTGCATTTTATGTTTTGGGGTACATGTGAAGAACATGCAAGATTGTTGCATAGGTACACACGTGGCAGTGTGATTTGCTGCCTTCCTCCCCATCTAAAATGCAATAAAATTAATAAATGGGAAAAAATAAAAATAAAAAAATTAAAAAAAATAAAATAAAATGGGGTTTTACATTTATCTGTTATTCTTTAGTAGTACTTAAAATGCCTCATAATTCTATAATCGAATAAACGTTTCTCTACAAGTTAAAAACTTGTAAGATAAGTTTTTAAAAATGAGTTTTCTTATGATACCTTGAATTACTGGTTTAGATAACTGTTTTCCTTGAGATTAAAAATGTATATGACCATAATATTTCAGAAATAAATATCTGCATGTTAAGAAAATTTATTTCTTATCTATTAATCCAGCATAGAAATATATAATTGAAAATTTGAATTCCATGTTTTCTTTTTATTTTCAAAACTTGAGTACTTCAATGGTTTAAATTATTGAATCCTATCAGTTTTGTATATTTTACAAATGTTGATCTTCTCAACAACAGATGGGGTTTTTATGAGTAAGGTCATCTATTTCTACTCCAAATGTATTTACCCAGATCAGTCTTCTAAGTCCCCTTTGTGCCTCAAATTTGATAGGTCTCAAAGTGAAACACATTGTTCTTGATGCCTTCCAGATTTTTGCCTGACTCTTTGTAATATACTCTGCCATCTGGCTTCCCAATTTTAGTAACTAACACCTAGTAAGTAGCAATGAAACATTGAAGCACAAAAACTGCACTCCAGATTTTCCCCACACTGCCAATTTAGTGATGCACCAAGTTTTGTATTTTCTACTTTTTACCACTTCTCATATCTTATTACTGTAATTGACTGTCTGACCTATACTTTTGGAAGGTTATTTTTTGTTTCTCTCTTCTCCCTACATTTATCTATCTATATATGTCTTTCAGGTTGACCTTTCTTAAATGTGTTTACTTTGATGTAACTCCTGTGCTTATGGCCGGATCCTCATTACATGAAGGAAACATTTACATTCTAATATAACACATATTTTGTGATTTGGCCTATTTCTCCCATTTTATCTCTTCACCCCATTTTCTCTGACTATGTCCAAGTTTTACCACATTATTGTCATATTTCTTATTTTCTATGCTGTTTCATGCCTTATTATTATTATTATTATTTTTTGCACATGCTGCCCTGACTAGAAACCCTTCGCACTGTTACTCTTCACTTGTCTATTATAAAAATATGACCCTAAATTTGCAGTGTCTCAGGAGCTTTTCAGGTAGAAATAACTCTTATTGCCTTTGTGCTGCTACTATATTTTATTGACTTGAATTGCAGAAATAATGAATGTTACTTTCTGCTTTTGTTTTTCTACATTTCTATTTCCAATGTAGGAAAAATTAGTGTTTTATTCATATTATCAGATTTTTCTAGGATAGACCCTATGAATTTGCAGACACAGCAAATGTTTCTTGAATTACTGACTGACTGACAGTGATAAATACAACATTTTCTGAAGATTTCTTTTTTCTCTTTTTTTTAATAGGAAGGAAAAGTACTACCAACAACTGGAAAAAAAGCAAATGGTATTTATGTTATAAAAAGTGATCCACGAGAGCAATCAAATAATGATAGTGTTATTTTTTGTGTACAAAAACAAAGGTGGTGAGATACTGAATATAGCTGAATAATTTTCTATGCTTTAATAATATAATTTTGAAAATAATGTAATTAGTTTACATATAATTTAAAATAAATTCAAATTAAATGTAAATTACATTAAATTATAAACCTAACAAATATAAATATAATTTATGAATTTTAAATTGTAAATATAATTTAATTTAATTTATACTTTTCCTTAAAACTTTGGTGAACGATTAAACTTGTTGACCAAAATATAATATTCATTGTTGAGATATGGACATTAGATTTACAAAAAAAAAAATGTGACGTGGGATGATGTAAATTAAGAAAGCAGCTGGCTAGGTAATTAGGTTTCTGATGAGGAAACTTGAGGGAACTCATTTTATGTGGACTGAGTATATTCCCACTCAGAGAAGATTAAATTATTGCTGCTTTGGAACTTACTAGAAGCAGACGGTAGAAGAATGACAGTAAACCACAGGAACTGATTTCTTCTCTCTATAAGGGTTACACATCAATGATATGTGCCTCATTCATGTTCATTAGCAAACTGGGAGGCACTTGGATATCAAAACATTGGCTGTTTTCTTTAAAAATGCTGTTTTTGATGAAATAGCCATTTTTTAAAAAGTACCTCAGAGACTGCTGTGCTATAGCATATCAAAGTGACTTTAGAAAAAAACAAACAAGAAATTTATTTTTTGAGTACTAAAAGTATAACTGTCAATAATCATGGCTAAGATTTTGATGCATAGAAGTTGATTAGGCTGGGTGCAGTGGCTTACGCCTGTAATCCCAGCACTTTGGGAGGCCAAGGCAGGCAGATCACAAGGTCAGGAAATTAAGACTACCCTGGCTAACACAGTGAAACCCCATCTCTACTAAAAATACAAAAAATTAGCCAGGTGTGGTGGCTACATGCCTGTAGTCTCAGCTACGTGGGAGGCTGAGGCAGGAGAATTGCTTGAACCTGGGAAGTGGAGGCTGCTGTGAGCCAAGATTGTGCCTCTGCACTCCAGCCTGAGCAATAGAGTGAAACCTTGTCTCAAAAAAAAAAAAAAAAAAAAAAAAAAAACATTGATTGTTATGAAAAAAAGTCAGTGATTGTTCACAGATTTTGGTTAGAGTTTTTAATATGGAAGTCTGAGTACTTATTATTTATTCGATGTGTATTATATACATTTTTTGCATAAGTGAATAAAAAGATGCCAAGAGAACCAAAGTTGAGAATCCAGGCAATTTGAAAATGCCAGAAGCCTTCATGACTGTGAACAACATGTGTATTTTTATAAACTATTCTTCTCCAAGTAGATATCTAAACTAATAATTGAGAACACTTTCTGCAAACAGAAATAAATGATACATTTTAATGTACTCTCATCTCAACTTCATATTTTCTAAGTTAAAGGACAAAATGAAGGACAGAATAACAATTGTAATATAATAGTTTAAATGATTCTTGGGTGATTTCTTAAGGTATACCATAGCATTCTACCATAGACTTTTGACATTTATCCTTCTGGGGCCCTATTTGGTCCTGTCATTTGACATCACTTTTTTTGGTTTCATTCATCAGATCCACATTGGTAGAAGTAATTTTCTATATTACTTGTAGTCATGTGAAACCTAATCTCACACTCGCAATTTGGACTGCATGTTTTATAGAATCTATACTGTGATTTTCATGTGTATATTTCTGTCATGTTTGTGTGCTAACCAAAACAAGAGCAAAGCAACCCAAAACCTAATGGGTAACAATTTCAAGGCCAAGCAAAAAAATCTTAGCTGGATACAAATACTGCATGATTGATGGTAGGCTGTGTCATATTTACCTGTAGTCAATTATGTGTTCCTTTTCCTTTGTAGTGTCTCCTGAGCAACCACCTTTATTTATGGTAAACATACATATTTTCTTTAATTATTAATAAAATGCTCTGTGATATATACATGAAATGTTAATCATTATGTTGTCAAACCCATTCAGCATACTGTGAAAGACAGAGATCACATTTCAACTAGAGTCGTAGGAAAGTTGGATTCACCAACTTCCAGAGAAGGTAAATTTGCCACTACAAATTTCATTCTGGAAAACGTACACGAAAATGTTGAAAATGCTCATAGGTTTTTGATTCTCACTTTTTCCCAAATGGGATGGAAGGATTTGATGTAAATATGCTAATGTTCTTGTTAATATCTTTGTTCATAAAATGATATTTAAAGCATAAGGCAGACATTTTCACACCGTGAGCTCTAGCCCAAATGCTTTTCCTTTTAAGTTGTCATCATCTAAAGATCCCAATTTTGAATTCCTGTGCATGTTAGGGATTCAAGGAGGTGTATTTTGAAAATGTAAAAATTTTCAGTGCTTCAAAATGGATTGCAATACTCTTTTCTCTTCTGCATCTCGAGAAAAGCTATACCTGCTGACATTACAATTGTTTTAGAACTTCAACTGTTTTATGTCAGTGTTGTTACATTGAGAAGCTTTACTTAACCACATCTTCTGATTGCTAGGTTGAGTTTCTGCATGTGTATGTGTGTGTGTTTATCTCTGATTAAAAATGAATGAAGTGATTCATCACTCTTTTTTAACTCTTTGGTAGATACAGTGTTTAAAAACAATGATTCTGAGTTGCTTTGGCCTTAGAATCTTTTCTTCTACTACCATTCATTACCAACAGGTAACCAACAGCCTGAATTAATATTTTTTTACTTTTAAATCACTGCAATGCACATTAAAAATATTTTACAAGATACATGCACTTTCATAGATAATATGTAGAATCTGTTTCCATGTATCAAGTATCTCTCCCATGGCCGTGTTGATTGCACCTGTTTACTCCTTAAACCATGTCTTTCTGACACGTCATAACTCTTAGAAACTCTAGTGTGGGCAGTTTGCCCGCGGGTGTGTGAAGAGAGACAGTCAGTTTGGAGGCCACAGGGGACTCGCCAGGATGGGCAGCACCTTAGCTAAGATCGCAGAGATAGAAGCTGAGATGGCTCGGACTCAAAAGAACAATGCCACAGCACACCACCTAGGGCTGCTTAAGGCTCGTCTTGCTAAGCTTTGTCGAGAACTCTTTACTCCAAATGGTGGTGGTGGTGGAGGTCCAGGAGAAGGTTTTGATTGATCAAGACAGGTGATGTTCGAATTGGATTTGTTGGTTTTCCATCTGTGGGGAAGTCAACACTGCTTAGGAACCTGCCAGGGGTGTATTCTGAGGTAGCAGCCTATGAATTCACTACTCTGACCACAGTGCTTGGTGTCATCAGATACAAAGGTGCCAAGATCCAGCTCCTGGATCTCCCAGGTATCATTGAAGGTGCCAAGGATGGGAAAGGTAGAGGCCGTCAAGTCATTGCAGTGTCCCTAACCTGTAACTTGATTCTGATTGTTTTAGATGTCCTGAAACCATTGGGACATAAGAAGATAATTGAAAATGAACTGGAAGGCTTTGGCATTCACTTGAACAGGAAACCTCCCAGCACTGGCTTTAAGAAGAAGGACAAGGGAGGCATTAATCTCACAGCCACTTGCCCCCAGAGTGAGCTGGATCTGAAGCTGTGAAAAGCATTCTGGCCAAATACAAGATTCATAATGCTGATGTGACTCTATGTAGCGATGCTGCAGCTGATGACCTCATTGATGCGGTGGAAGGAAACAGAGTTTATATCCCCTGTATCTGTGTGTTAAATAAGATTGACCAAATCTCCATTGAGGAATTGGCTATCATCTATAAGATGCCTCACTGTGTACCCATCTCTGCCTATCACCGTTGGAATTTTGATGACCTACTGGAAAAGATTTGGGACTATCTGAAACTAGTGAGAATTTACACCAAACCCAAAGGCCAGTTACCAGATTACATTTCCCCAGTGGTGCTTCCTTACTCCATGACCACAGTGGAGGATTTCTGCATGAAGATTCACAAAAATCTTATCAAAGAATTTAAATATGCTCTGGTCTGGGGTCTGTCTGTGAAACACAATCCTCAGAAAATGGGTAAAGACCATATGTTGGAGGACAAGAATGTCATTCAAATTATGAAGAAGTGAAACCTTCCCCCTTTCCCATCTGCCAGGTGAACCACAACAGCCTTCCCCATGATCAAGCACCCTACCCCAGTTCTTCATGGCTTTGACAGTCACTGGATCAGGATCCAGGGGAGGGAGATGGAGGCACCCAAACTGTCTTACCTTGGTGTCACTGTGTGTGTTGAACTGCATAAAAGACCTGGTAGGCTAGTCAGCTACATGCAAAAAAAAAAAAAAAAAAAAAAAAAAAGAAACTCTAGTGTGTGCTTTTCAGAGAATGACAGTAGGAATGGAAATAGCCAATGGTAAAAGTGTTACTTGTCCTCTTGGCTCCCCTTCATCAATGCTAAACTCTAAACTACTCAGGTCACAATTTAGAACCCCTTTGTTGATCGCTATAAAGCATTCCCCGATATCAAATGACAAATAGGCCCTTGATGAAGAAAAGCCCTGTAAAGCTGTATTGCTCTGGTTTGTGTGTGTGTGTGTGTGTGTGTGTGTGTGTGTGTGTGTATTTTTTCCTCTTCTGAAAACTGTTAAAGAAGACTTTTCATTACAAATGAAAATATTTCTATTTCATATTTATTTCCTGTCTCATGGCACTCTGCTCTCCTTGGATCTAGTAAGGATCTCAGCTTGTTTTATTTATATCTGCAAAAAACTATGCCGATGCTTCATTTTTCATGTCAATTACTGACATGTTTTCAAATCTTCACAAGTTATTTCTGAAGATGTTGGTGCATTGAGGAAAGATGGTGTCATTGTAGTAGAAGAAGTTTTAAATAGTTTATGTTCAGTAAAATTCCAGAGCCCGTTTCTCTGGAAGGCATAGAAATAGTGGTGTTATGTATAAACATAAAATAGCACCACAAGGCCTTGTGTACATAAAAGTGTTTATATCCTGGAAGATTCTAATTTACTGCTCAGTAATGTTTCCTGGAGAGGAAAATAGGTGAGATAGATTGCTGAGCCTGTGATAATAACTCATAATATGAAGCAAAAGCATAGAAACAAAATGAGAGACAATAGATACACAAACCGATGTGGGTGAAGAACATCTGTGAAACAGTGTGTCTATGGGAGAGAGGAGGCCATGGGGCTACTTTTGTGAGGAAGGAATTTGTACACATTAGTCAAGTATCTGACACAGTTAACATTTTAATAAAGAAAAACCTTATATACACATGTGTGAGAATGGGATTGTACAGATTTCACAATATAGTGGTGATGAGAATAAAGAAGAAACAAATGTAAAGGGCAAAGAATGAAGTCCACCAATATGGATATTAGATTAATGAATGAAAAAAGAGTGTATGCCAAATTGGGCAGGTATAAACAAAGAAAGCTAGCTAGGTAATTTGGAGGTTTCTGATGAGGAGACGTGTGGGAAGTCACTTTATGGGAAGCAGAAGTTAGAAGGATGAGGGTGACCCACAGGATTCCATTTCTTCTCCCTAGAAGTTTTGGACATCAATGATATGTGCTTTGTTCACATCAGTTAGCATATTGGGATGCACTTTAATCCAGAAAATTGTTTTTTTTTTTCTTTAGGAAAGCTGTGTTTGCTTAGGTAGTTATTTCATAAAAGGACTTGAGATGCCCCTATGGTATATAATATCAAACTAGCTTTAGAAACAAAGGAATCAAAGAATGTATTTCTTGAGCACTAAAAGGGCAAATTCCAATAATCTTGGCAATCATTTTATATATAATATATGTGTATATATATATATATACACATACACACACACACACGTATATGTCTTATTAACCAATCAAATATATTTATTTTCTTAACCAACCAAATATATATATATAAAAATATATATTATATGTTATATATATTATTTATATATCTCTATATATAATTTAATATATCAATATATAAAAATAATATATAATTATATATATAATATATATTTGGTTATTAATAAGTCTCTGGTGATTTAAAGATTTTGTTTAATTTGTTTTCATGGGAATCTGATTGCACATTATTTCTTTGATGCGTATGTTTTGGCAAAAGTGGGTGAAGAGATGGGAAGAAGGCTCAACTGCTGAATCCAGGAAACGTAGGAATTTCAGACTTCATGAGTATAAAGAAAGTGATTTTTGAAATTTAAGACTAAGTATAAGTGAACTTATTTCAGATGCATTTAGAATATTTGCATAAAAGATGATTTTGGCTGCTCCAGGAACTACTGGAAACAGGAAAGAGTGCTAGAATTGGGCTAAACCACACTGACTCATTGCTCCTCTGTTACGTTGGCATCAGAGATGTATGTTTTATTGATATTAGTTATTCAAATGAGTTAAATGTGAATATGCACATATTGCCTTGTTTTTCAAGGCAATAACTTTTGGATGAAATAGCAATTTGAGGAAAATGCTTTAGAGAATAACATGATAAATATGTCCCAGATATTCTGGTACGTTGTGTATTCTTTCTCATTGGTTTCGAAGAACATCTTGATTTCTGCCTTCATTTCATTGTTTATCCAGTCAACTTTCAAGAGCCAGTTGTTCAGTTTACATGAAGTTGTGTGGTTCTGGTTTAGTTTCTTAATCCTGAGTTCTAATTTGATTGCACTGTGGTCTGAGAGACTGTTTGTTATGATTTCTGTTCTTTTGCATTTGCTGAGGAGTGATTTACTTTCAATTATGTGGTCAGTTTTAGAATAGGTGCAATGTGGTGCTGAGAATGCATATTCTGTGGATTTGGGGTGGAAAGTTCTGAAGATGTCTTTTGGATTTGCTTGATCCAGATCTGAGTTCACATCCTTGATATCCTTGTTAATTTTCTGTCTCATTGATCTGTCTAATATTGACATTGGAGTGTTAAAGTCTCCCACTACTATTGTGTGGGAGTCTAAGTCTCTGTAGGTCGTTAAGAACTTGCTTTATGTATCTGGGTGCTCCTGTATTGGGTGCATATATATTTAGGACTGTTAGCTCTTCTTGGTGCATTGATTCTTTTACCATTATGTAATGCCTTTCTTTCTTTTGATCTTTGTTGGTTTAA